GGTAGTTTTTCCCTGTGTCCCCTCTCTCCCTCTCTCTCTGTTCCTTTGGCTGCCATGGTTTTGCTCCACGCATGCTTCTCACCATGATGTTCTGTCTCACCACAGGCCCCAAAACAAGAGAGGGAAATGACCATGGACTGAAACCTTCATAACCATTGAACCAAAACAAAAATTTCCTCTTTTAAAATGGATTTTTCACAGTGATGGACAAGCTGAATAACACAAACCATTAATTTAAAAAATATAAGTCACTGATAGACAATAATGTTTTGTAGGTCACATATATGATAAAAGAAGAATATATCCAGAATATATGAAGAATTCATCCAACTTGAAATAAAGGACAGATAACCAAATTATAAGATGAATTTGAATAGACATTTCTCTGAAGAAAGGTACACAAATGGGAAATAAATACATGAAAATATTCTTAACACAATTAGTCATTAAGTAAATGAAAATCAAAAACCACAATATGTTAATTCACACCAAGTATTCATGGGTATAGTTTTTTAAAAAATAAAAATAACAAGTGTTGGTAAAGTTGTGGAGAAATTAGAATCCTCATACACAGCTGGTGAGAATAAAAATGGTGCAGGTGCTGCGGAAAACTGACTGGTATTTTCATTAACAAGTTAAACAGTTACTAAATGACCCAGCAATTTCACTCCTAGAGTTATGCCGAAGAAAACTGAAAACATACATTCACATAAAAACTTGTACCCAATGGTCATGGCAGCATTATTCATGATAGACAAAAATGGAAACAACTCAAATGCCCATCAACTGATATGTAGGTAAGCAAACTGTTATATATCCGCTAAGTGAAATATTATTCAGCTTCAAAAAATAATGAAGTACTGCTACAAGCTACATGAGTAAACTTTGAAAAATAATATTGTAAGTGAAAGATCAGGAACAAAACACCACATATTGCATAATTCCATTGGTATAAAAATGACCAGAATAGGCCTATCCATAGAGACAGAAAGTAGATTAGAGTTGCTGGAGGCTGTGGAGAGAAAGGAATTGGGAGTGGCTACTAACAAATATGGGCTTTCTTTGGGAGGTGACAGAAATGTCATGAAATTATATAGTGGTGATGGTTACACAACATTGTGAATATGCTAAAAGCCACTGAAGTGCACACTTTGAAATGATAAAATTTTATATGGGACCATATTTCATAAAAAATTGCAAATGAAACAAGATTATATTAAATGTTGAATTATGGGTAAATATAATTTCTGTTGGAAATTTATGTAATAATTTCTAGAAATGGTTTACATAGTGGCATATTATAGACTAATGACTCGCCCATCAGTATTTAGGAACTTAAACTTTTCTGTTTTAGGTGAGAGTGGGTCTAGGAGTTGTGGAGGAATCCACCAGTTTGATCCTATTTATTCTCCCCTATTTAATTTGAATATGTTTCTAGCAAGAATTTCAGTAGTTTCCAGTCTAGCAGACAAATCATATTCCTTACTTGGGAAGCAAGAGTTGGGCAATTCTGAATCCATTGCATACTCAGTCCTCACCATGTACATCCAGTAGAAATAGAGTAACACACACACACACACACACAAACACACGCTCGTACACAAAACACACAGCAGAACCACCTAAATCCAGTAGAAATAGAGTAACACCCACCACCCCCCGCCCACACACACACACACACACACAACACACACGCTCGTACACGAACACACACAGCAGAAAGGACTACTATCCTAAAACTTCTGTTTGATATCAGCATCCAGATAAGTTTGAGTATAAAGTGAAGAGAAGGACTTTATGCATACTTCCTTAGAAACAGAATGGGACTGTGGCCCAATGAGAGGCCAGATAAATCAGTAGCACTTTGCAGAGGAAAAGGGTACATAGAAGGGACATCAGTACCCAGTAAACATGAAAGTACCCAGGAGAGAAAGAGGGAGTCTCAGTAGTAGAAGACTGGCCTCTGTCAGCCAACTGGACTTGTTCCTGAATATAGTTTAGATAAAACCTATGGACTTGTGTGGGATGATGTTCAGAGATAAAAGTATTAAGAATCTCAACACAGTGTTACGTGCCAGTGCCGAGGGTCCTTGTCTTCACAGGCCAGAGAACTGGCTCGTGAGGCAGCTGAATAATGAGCCAAAGACGGTAAATAAAGTAGGATTTATTAGAGAGAAAGGAAAGGCTACAGGTAGGGAACTGCAGTGGAGCCCGGAAGCCGGTGGCTCACTGCACAGGTGAAGGCTAGGGTTTTTATGGATGTTTTAACTCTGGTTTAGGTGGGTTTTTCTCATTGGCCATGGATTCGCAGGCTTTCTCAGGTGAACTGGTTTGGTTTTCACCTTTATTGAGGGAGGGGAAACAATCTAGAGAGCATTTTGCTCATCAGCCCTGTGGCAAATCTGAATCTGTCCTTTAGGATGCAGGAATGCAGGCCTCCATCTCCTCAGGATATAGAAATGATATTGCTCTCCATGGGGGATGGGATAGTCACTCATCTGCCTTAGTTCTCCAGACCCAACAAAAGGAACCAGTGTGGTATCTGAAGTCTGTAATCCCAGCTATGCAGGAGGCAGAAATGGGAGAATTACAATTTGAGTCCAGCCAGAACAAAAAAGTTAGCAAGTGCCTATCCCAAAAAACAAACTGGGTGTGATGATGCCTCTTTGTTATCTCAGTTATGCAAGAGGTAAGGTAGGAGGATCTTGGTCTGAGGTCAGTGACAGGGCAAAAACATGAGACCCTGTCTGAAAACTAAACTAAAGCAAAAAAGGCTAGGGGCATGGTTAAAGTGGCAAAGTGCTTGCCTTGCAAGCACAAGGCCCTAAGTTAAAAAACCCAGTACCACAAAAAACAAACAAACAACAACAACAAAAAACCCAGCAGAACTTAAAGCAGGAGTTGGTCTCTTCTGACCACAAAGCACTGGACTATACACCACAGATCTATATGTGAAGCCTGCCCTAGCTGTGAATATTGGCTGATAACAACTGAAATATTACCTCTTCTCTAGAGAATTGTTCTCAGCCAACTAGGAGCTGTTTTCCCCAGAGACTATGCTTTGCTCCATCTGTAGTTTTTGATCTTCGACTATTTGACATTACGATACAAAAAACCAGTGCCTTTCTATCAAGGTATGACTATAATGGGAAGACACCTAAATATGCTCACAACTGTAGTTTCAGCCCAATTACTAACTCATTTTACTAGCCAGTCTACTTTGAATTACAAGTTTTTAAAAGTTTTAAGCAGACTTTTCTTTTCTTTCGTTTTTTCTCTCCCCTACCCCACATTCCACCATGTGAAGAACTCCAGAATGTCTTTATCCTCTGGGCAAGGTCATATGCTCCTCTCATCTTGCTGACAGCAGTAGTGAAGGACCATTGAGGACTGCAAAAACATACAGCTCCTGTCAGTAATTGGGAAATAAGCAGACCCAAGGCCACCATCTGACCCAAAGCCTTGCCTCAGTACGTACATCCAAAAGCCCAAACTCTTGGGAGGAGGACAGAAGCTTCTGAAATAGCAGCTCACTATGGTTCTTATTGTGCTTGGCAAATTAATAAACCTTCATTTCTTTTCCTCCAAAACCCTGCTCTCCTTATTTGTAAAATTGGCATGGAGTCGAGGGGCCAAATTTTTGGTACCAGGACCACTTTGTCTTTGAAGTTTCCAGGTGGGATTTACTAAAGTTTATCTCCAGTTAAACCCCATTCTCCCTGTCCTATTCTGCGTGCTTCACTCCCATTAACATGAGAATATCATCTCAAGAAACTGCTTTCATAAGGATCTCTGTTTCATGTTCTGCTTGTAGGAAGCCTGACCTAAAACAAGAGGTGTTTATAGAAATATTCTGGTTAAAATCACAAAAAGAGGAAAACATAATTGTTATCTGTTTTAGCAAATAAGAAATCAAGAGACAAAGGCTATCTCTTGGAAGAACATGAACTGAAATTGAACCTGAATTCAATTAAGTTTTTCTAGAATTAACTACTATTTGATAGGAAACAGAGTAAAGAGTCACGTATTAATGATGATACCACCGAGATCCAGACTGTGGGAAAATATAGGACAAACCACTCTGTTTCATCAACTATTACATTGAAGAGAAAATTTAAAAGAACCTATAGATTAGAAGAAATGTAGGTTGGGTGCTGGTGGCTCACGTCTGTAATCCTAGTTGCTCAGGAGACAGAGATCAAGAGGATCGTGGTTCAAAGACAGCCCTGGGCAAATAGCAAGAAAATCCATCTTGTAGAGATATGCACTTCAATTTGAAATATTTATGACTAAAGTGATATGTCTAGAATTTCTTTCAAAAGTAATTTGAGTGCTAGAAGTCGATAAGGATGAAGATGAAATAAAATTGGCCATACCTTACTGTGGAAACTAAATAATTACTGCATGGGTTTGCATTATTCTTTTCTATTTTTATGTTTGAAAAATTTTCATAGTAAAAAAATCAAAATAAATTTAACGCAAGCTATAGAGTGCAATTTTCAATAAAAGTGAACAAAACGCAAATGCTGTCATTTAAAATTTTGACATCCTGCTGATCATAGATATTCTTCCACTATTTTTTATTTTCCCTTAAATATTGCATTAAATGTTATTTTTGTAAGAACTGAGATTTTCTTGCACCCCCTTAAAGGCTGGACCAAATCTTGGTGCAAAGGATGAGGGCATCCCTGGAGCAGAGAGGAGGGACAGGCAATTCCCCACAGAAGTGGGAACGGCCAACAGCCCTCTGACAAGATACCGCCCTTCCCTGGTGGGCAGAGAAAGAAAAGCCCAGGAATACACAAAGAAGGCAGTGACAGAGCCCAGCCTGGAGACATTCAACACCAGTGGGTGCGGAAAAGGGGCCGTCTGGCCCCGCCCACGCCGGGCAGCGGCGGCTGCTGGCGAGTGGGCGGGGCCACTAGCGATGACGCAGGCCTCACGTGACTGGCCAGTATAGACTAGCAACACCTAGCTCCAGCGCCAGACGCCGCCAGAGCTCGCTCCCTCTACCAGAGGCAGCTGCACCTGCTCTGGGGGCCCAAGGAGCGCGCGGGCCAGGGGCGGCCCCAGAGAGGAGGAGGCGGGCGAGGAGCGGGTGAGACCCCGAGCGGACCCTGGGGTTGGAGTGGGAGAGCGGACCCCACCCCCGGGCCCTGCTGCCCAGGGCGGAGGCGCAGCCGGTTGGGGCTGCAGCCCCCACTCCCCGCCGCGGCCCCGCAGGCGGGCGCTGTAGGTGGGCGGCCCTGTGCATGCGGAGCAGCCGCCCGCTGGTCAAGCCCGGCGGTCCCGAGGCTCCGAGCCTGTGGAAACACCTGCCTGCGCCATAAGCGCCAGCTTTTCCCACGGCCCTGCCCCGCCCCCCGCCCTGTTGGTGCAGAAAATGGTGGTCAGCGCGGGGGGCGGGGATGCGAACGCGGGCGGCAGGGAGGGGCGGGGGGCGGGGGTCTCTGGCACCCAGCACTCAGCTGTGGCGGCCCCCGCTCCCAACCCGGCCATCTGCAGATCTGCCAGGCCGTGTCGCGGCGGCGTCTCGCGGCGAGAATCAGGAGGAGGAGGAGAGGCAAGGATAGGCCCAGGTTGGTGAGTGGGACATCGCTGGGGGCGAGGACAAGGGGGCGGGGGAACGTGTGGGAAGACAAGTCTGAGATCCCCCAACCACAATTCTTCCTCCCTCCCCCATCCTGCGTTTGGGTCTGGTGGAAGCCTGGAGGTGGATCCACTGGGAAAGTGATGAGCTTTGGGGAGGGAGGAGGGCGGACTGGACATGTGGACCTTCTCAGGTGGGAAAACGAAATTAACCGAAGGCCTTTGAAATTGAGGCTTCTGAAAGTTGAAAGGACCTTAGTAGGTCCTCTGTCCTCGTAGCTGATCAGTATACCAAGAATTCGGTCCCCTTTCTTGTCTCTTGTCTCCTAGGAGTAATGGAGTCCAAACAGAAACAAGCACTTAAAAATCTCAAAGTGGAAAATGCTCAACAGGAAAGCGAAGGAGAGGAGCAGGCCTCTATTCAGAGTGAAGAGGAATCCTGCCGCTTGGGAGGGGCTGAAGGCCAGAAGCCTGGAGGAAATGTCAAGCTCGGGCGAGTCAGGCGACTTGTCCCTAATTTTCGATGGGGCATATCTAGTAGGCATATTGATCGCAATGAAGTGGGAGATGATGTAGAAAAGTTTGTTGGGCAGATGATGGAAATCAAAAGAAAGAGTAGGGAGCAGCAGATGAGGCATTACAGGCGCTTCCAAACCCCTGAACCTGACAATCATTATGACTTTTGCCTCATACCTTGAAACTAAGATTTTTCCCTGAGGCTCCAAATGTGGCCACTGCTTTACAAGCTTGCATTTTTGTAAAACATTTGGTGTATCTATATTAATTTCTGGTTGAATATTTTGCTTCAATTTAAAAGAAGTTTCTGCATGGCCGTTCAACCTGTTTTAGAAAAAAATGATTTTCATAGTTTGAAATTGGCTGGGGTAATTGGTGTATGTCACCACACCTAGCTTTATTAATTGACATGAGGGTCTCACTAACTTTTTGCCCAGGCTGTCCTCAACCTGCAGTCCTCCTGATTTCAGTCCCCCAAATAACTAGGATTACAGGCATGAGCCATTGGCCTTTGGCTAACCTCTAGAATTTTATTAGTTACAATTTAGGCATTCCTACTCTAATACTGGTTCCCATGGAGGTTCCTGCTCCAGTAATTTGTCATTCTCTGTTTTTTACCTGTCTGACTCTCCAATTTGGGAGCAGTTGTTTTCCCTTTTATTTCAGTTTTCTGGAGGATCTAAGAAGAGTTACTGATTTTTTTGGTTCAGTTCTTTATTTTTTGTCAGGATAGAGTGACAGCTTTCAAGTTTCTATGTCAGGACAAAAATGAGACACTTATTTATCTATTTTGTCTCATGTGTCACTAATTCATTCTTTTTTGTGGTACTGGGGTTTGAATTCAGGGCCTCATGTTTGCTAGACAGGCGGTTTAACCACTTGAACCACACCTCCAGCCCAATTCATTCTTTTTTATTGCTGAGTAGTATTCCTGTATGTGGATATAACACAATTTCACTTACTGATTTGCGTCTTAAGAAACGTATGAGTTGCTTCCAATTTGGGTGTCTTCTGAAGAAAGCTGCTCTGAACATTGGTACATATGTCTTACATGGGCATATGACTTCTTCCAGGTTGAACATTTAGGAGAGCAATAGCTGGATCATTTTGCAAATGAGAGATTAGTATTATAAAAACTGATGAATGATTAGTGGTTTTTCCAATATAGTTCCAACATTTCATTTCCACTAGCAGTGTGGGAAAATTCTGTCTTTGATCACATTGCCAACATTTGATATGATCATTTTTTAATTTTGACCATTCTCACAGGGGTGTAGTGATGTCTCATAATTTCAATTTACATTTATTTAATGATTAATAAGGATGTCCATATGTTCATGGGCTCATTTGTCCTTCTGTAACTTCTTTGATGAAGTGTCTCTTCAAATATTTTTCAATATATCTATTAAATTGACTTTTGAGAGATTTTTCTATATTTTATATACAAGTCCTTTATTGGATATATGATTTTCAAATAATTTTTTCCATTAAGTGCTCTGTCTTTTCATTTTATTAACAAAAATGTGGTAGGACAAAAGTTTTTGTCTTTTAGAAAGTCCATTTTATTGATTTGTTCACTTATAGATTATGGTTTTCATGTTCCCATCTAAAAACTTTCTCCTAATCCAAGGTCAAAAGGATTTCCCTTATGCTTTCTTCTGGAAATTTTGTAGCTTAGCTCTTATATTTAGGTATTTGATACATTTTACATTAGCGTTTATATATGTTGTGATATATGAACCACAATTTATATTTGTGTATATGGACACCGATCTATCTGAATAACATTTGTTGAAAACACTGTATTCTCTCCACCTTTGTACCTAACTGAAAGCCAGCTGTCCATGATGTTTTTAAGTCTTTTTAATTTGAGGAAGACCCATCATTTTATAGATAGTCATTGTGTATCAATTTGTGTTTTAACAAATTGTATTTATAAAATATAAGCAAATATATATGTATTACTAAATTTCTTCTATTTCAGATATAAAAATCAACATATTCTAGATCAGTGGATTACAATAGAATTTCTACACAGATAAAACTATTTTGTATCTGTTCCTACTGCTTGTTATGTACGTTTGGTACTCTGGGATGTAGATATGTCTTGGAACTTTTTTTTTTTTTTTTTGCGATACTGGGCTTGAACTCAGGGCCTACACCTCGAGCCACTCTGCCAGCCCCCTTTTTTTGTGATGGGTTTTTTTTGAGATAGGTTCTCACAAACTGTTTGCCCAGGCTGCCTTCAAACTACAATCCTCCTGATCTCTGCCTCCTGAGCAGCTAGGATTATAGGCGTGGGTCACCAACACCTGGATTGTCTTGGAACTTTTGATTGACTTTTTTTGTTGTTGTTCATTTATTCACATGTGCATACATTGTTTGGGTCATTTCTCCATCCTCCCCCCCTCCCCCACCCTTCCCCCCTCCCCTCTCAGTTCCAGGAAGGTCTCCTTCTACCCTTATTACTGATTTTGTTGAAGAAAAGACATAAGCATAATAAGGAAGACAAAGCATTTTTGCTAGTTGAGTTAAGGATAGTATACAGAGAGATTCCTACTATTGTTTTCGTGTACCCATGTGTTACGACCCATGTTGATTCAACTCTAAGTGATCTTTACATTGTTTCCTGATATAACCTGTCATTTAAGGTTTCTGTATTAGTTTCTCCACAGTGGGGACATCAAACGCTTTCATGTTTTGGGTTTTCTACCTATTCCTATATCTCCTGTATGTGCTGTCTCCTTGTCTTGTGATCCAAGTCCAAACACATTGCTGCATTTGCCCTAGATCTAAAGTCCATATATGAGGGAGAACATATGATTTTTGGTCTTCTGAGCCTGGCTGACCTCGATCAGAAGATGTTCTCCAGTTCCATCCATTTACCTGCAAATGATAAGATTTCATTTTCTTCATGGCTGAGTAAAATTCCATTGTGTACAAGTACCACATTTTCTTATCCATTCTTCAGTAGTGGGGCATCTTGGTTGTTTCCATAACTTGGCTATTGTGAATAGTGTGCAATAAACATGGGTGTGCAGGTGCCTCTGGAGTAACTGTGTTGCATTCCTTTGGGTATATCCCCAGGAGTGGGATTGCTGGATCATATGGCAGGTCTATGTTTAGATTTTTAAGAAACCTCCAAATTTTTTCCAGAGTGGTTGCACCAGCTTGCATTCCCACCAGCAGTGGATTAGGGTTCCTTTTTCCCCACATCCTCACCAACACATGTTGTTGTTGGTGTTTTTGATGATGGCTATTCTAACATGGGTGAGATGGAATCTTAGTGTGATTTTGAGTTGCATTTCCTTTGTGGCTAGAGATGGTGAGCATTTTTTCATGTGTTTTTTGGCTATTTGAAATTCTTCTTTTGAGAAAGTTCTATTCAGTTGCCCATTTCTTAATTGGTTCATTGATTTTAGGAGAGTTTAGTTTCTTAAGTTCCCTGTATATTCTGGTTATCAGTCCCTTGTCTGATGTATAACTGGCAAATATTTTCTCCCACTCTGTGGGTGGTCTCTTCAGTTTAGAGACCATTTCTTTTGTTGTGCAGAAGCTTTTTAATTTTATGAAGTCCCATTTATTCATCCTTTCTCTTAGTTGCTGGGCTGCTGGGGTTCTACTGAGGAAGTCTTTGCCTATACCTATTTGTTCCAGAGTGTTTCCTGCTCCTTCCTGTAGTAACTTCAGAGTTTCAGGTCTGATATTTAGGTCCTTGATCCATTTTGAGTTGATACTAGTACAGGGTGATAGACATGGATCTAATTTCAGTTTCTTGCAGACAGGTAACCACTTTCCCAGCAACATTTGTTGAAGAGGCTGTCTTTTCTCCATGGTATATTTTTGGCACCTTTGTCAAAAATGAGGTGGGTATAGTTGTGTGGATTCATTCTGAGTCTCGTTCTGTTCCTCTGGTCTTCATTTCTGTTTATGTGCCAGTACCATGCTGTTTTTATTGCTATTGCTTTGTAATATAGTTTGAAGTCAGGTATTGTGATACCTCCAGCATTGCTCTTTTTGCTGAGTATTGCCTTGGCTATTTTCAGTCTCTTGTGTTTGCAAATTAACTTTAGGGTAGATTTTTCAATCTCTGTGATGAAAAGTCATTGGGATTTTGATGGGAATTGCATTAAACATGTAGATTGCTTTCGGTAGTATAGCCATTTTTACTATGTTGATTCTACGATCCATGAGCAGAGATCTTTCCATCTTCTGTAGTCTTCCTTGTCTTTTCTTCAGGAGTTTGTAATTCTCCTTGTAGAGGTCATTCACATCCTTTGTTAAATTTACTCCTAGGTATTTGATTTTTTTTGAGGCTATTGTGAATGGAATTGTTTCCGTATTCCTTCTCAGTTTGTTCATTGTTGGTGTATAGAAAAGCTAATGATTTTTGTAAGTTGATTTTGTATCCGCCACCTTACTGTAGCTGTTTATGGTGTCTAAGAGTTTTTTGGGAAGAGTTTTTTGGGTCTTTAAGGTATAGGATCATATCATCTGCAAATAAGGATATTTTGACAGTTTCTTTACCTATTTGTATTCCTTTTATTTCTTCTTCTTGCCTAATTGCTCTGGCTAGAAATTCCAGTACTATGTTGAATAGGAGTGCAGAGAGTGGACACCCTGTCTTGTTCCTGATTTTAAGGGGAATGGTTTCAGTGTTTCACGATTAAGTATGGTGTTGGCTGTAGGTTTGTCATATGCAGCCTTTACAATGTTGAGGTACATTCCTTCTATTCCTAGTTTTCTTAGAGCTTTTATCATGAAGTGGTGTTGGATCTTGTCAAAGGCTTTTTCTGCATCTATTGAGATGATCAAGTGGTTTTTGTCTTTGCTTCTATTGATGTGCAGTATTACATTTATAGATTTGCGTATGTTGAACCACCCCTGCATCCCTGGGATGAAGCCAACTTGGTTGTGGTGAACGATCTTTCTGATGTGTTGTTGGATTTGGTTTGCCATTATTTTATAGAGGATTTTTGCATCGATATTCATTAAGGAAATTGGCCTGTAGTCTCTTTTTGGAGTGTCTTTGTCTGGTTTTGGGATGAGAGTAATATTGGCTTCATAAAATGAGTTAGGAAGTGTTCCTTCCCTTTTATTTCATGGAACAGTTTACAGAGGGTTGGTATTAGTTCTTCTTTAAATGTCTGAGAGAATTCAGCAGTGAATCCGTCAGGTCCTGGATTTTTCTTTTTTGAGAGGCTGTTGATGGCAGCTTCAATTTATTTTTTGTTATACATCTATTCAGGTGATTAATATCCTCTTGGTTCAGTTTTGGTGGTTGTAAGTTTCTAGAAATCTGTCCATTTCTTCAAGATTTTCAAATTTAATAGAGTATAGGCTCTCACAGTAGTCACTGATGATTTCCTGTATTTCCGTGGTGTTTGTTGTTATCTCTCCTTTTGAATTTCTGAGTTTACTGATTTGGGTTTTTCCTCTCCTCATTTTAGTCAGGTTTGACAGAGGTTTGTCAATCTTATTTATTTTTTCAAAGAACCAGATTTTTGTTTCATTGATTCTTTGTATGTTTTTTTTTGTTTGTTTTTATTTCATTGATTTCAACCCTTATCTTAATTATTTCTTTCCTTCTGCTTGTTTTGGGATTTCTTGTTCTTTTTTTCTAGAAGTTTGAGCTGCAGTGTTAGGTCATTGATTTGAGACCTTTCTGTCCTTTTGCTATATGCACTCATGCCTATAAACTTTCCTCTTAGGACTGCCTTTCCTGTATCCCATAGGTTCCGGTAGGTTGTGTTTTCATTTTCATTAACTTCCAGGAACCTTTTAATTTCCTCTTTTATTTCATCAGTGGCCCAACGTTGTTGAGTTATGTGTTGTTCAGCTTCCAATTGTTTGTGTGTTTTTTACTGCTTTTTTTGTTGTTGATTTCTAGTTTTAATGCATTGTGGTCAGAATGCATGGGATTATTTCTATTTTCTTATATTTGCTGAGGCTTGCTTTGTGCCCTAAGATATGATCAGTTTTGGGAAAGGTTCCATGGGATGCTGAGAAGAATGTGTATTGTGCAGAAGTTGGATGAAATATTCTGTAGACATCAGCTAGGTCTATTTGATCTATGGTATGATTTAGTTCTAGGATTTCTTTATGATTTTTTGTTTGGATGACCTATCTATTGGTGATAGGGGGGTACTAAGGTCTCCCACTACCACTGCGTTGTAGTCTCTATATGCTTTTATGTCCTTCAGAGTATGATTGATGAAATTGGGTGCATTGACGTTGGGTGCATATAGGTTGATAACTGTTATTTACTTTTGGTGTATTTCCCCTTTTATTAGTATGGAGTGTCCTTCTTTATCTCATTTGAT